TGATATCATCTGGATTAAGACATGGTCAGAATGAGCATAGTTGTTTTTGCTTAGAACAATGTCATAAAAACCACAAAACATGTAGAGATCTAAGGAGAAACAGTACTCTGCAGTCTTCGCACGGCTCTACCGGTTATGGGTGCATCTTTTTTCTTATTTTTTAAATAATATGTGCAGAAAGCACCAAAACAACCGACATTCAGCGGCATTAGCCTAGCACTATTAGCCTTGCAGACACAACTGGAAACTGCAAACAGCACGGCATTAACACCGTGTTTCTGTTTCTGTATTGTTGTCACAGCGGCCCCAGCAGAGGTAAATACACACACGGCAATCACAGTTTAAGCGTCTAGCTTTCGGCCAATCAGTGTCAAAGGGGCGTAGGCTCCATCACATCCACGGGCTTAATGTTGACAAGCGCCAGCGCGGTCCACAGCATCAACACGCCAGAAGTTTGGGAAAGTTAGCGTCAGATTCGGACTTCCACGGTCAATAGCTCACAAAAGCGACTTTAATAAACGAAAGTAATTGGTCCAAAATGATCACATTTTATATTGATTGCTCAAATCCAATGCGCTGTTTTAATGCCGAGAAATCCATTGCTGCAAGCGCTGGGAAAAGCGCTTAGGGAGTGTCAACAAATGTCAAGACCAGCTTTGTAAATAAAAACAATAGCTTTTACTGAAGTCATGTACACGCACAAAACTCTCAGACACTATAAATAATGACCATGTCTACAGTAACTGCTACAGACTTTGATTTCAACATTTGTCAGTTTTTTTACATTTTAAATATTTTTTTAAATAACTTTTACAGTAAATGGTCTTTACTGTAACATACATAAATAATGTTTGTTACGGCATTTGTCTCACACCTGATTTTCAAACAAATATATATATTAGATTCTAATATATAAACAAGTGAATATTTGTATTGAAATTCACACACCAAATTATACCGCAATATATACCGTTTACCGTTTGTGTCCCAAATTATACCGCAATATGAATTTTAGGCCATATCGCCCACCCCTATTACAACTAGTTAAATAATCTTAAATGACAAACTACATTCACGCAACAACAAAGGAGCAGTGATGTGCCATGGTTCAAACACACTTGGTTTTCTTTGGTGTGAAGAGCTTTCTCACCAGAGACCAGAACAGGACTAAAACGGAGTGTGATTGACCCACATGCTCTGGTGTTAATCTGCCACTCTGTGCCTGTAATTAAAATGCTTCCACATGTCAGCCATATGTGCAGAGCGCGCACGCCAAAGGAGCTTTGTGCGCACACTCATCAGCGCCGCGGACCAGAGGACGGCACAGATTACAAATTACACCACAGAGAGGAACAGAGGACGGCCCAGATTACAGAGTTTATCACAGAGAGAGAACCAGAGAATGGCCCAGATTACAGACACCACAGAAAGAGAACCAGAGGATGGCCCAGATTAGACACCACAGAGAGAGAAAACTAGAGCAGTGTTTTTCAACCACTGTGCCGCGGCACAGTAGTGTGCCGTATGATATTGTCTGGTGTGCCGTAAGAAATTCATCTACTTTGTCTGAAAATAACTGCATTCGCTGTTGACGCGTGGTGACTTGTTTTGAACTGTGGAGTAGCCATGTAATACTTTTTCATATCAGTAGATGGCAACAGATAGCTAAGTACTTTGAAACTGAAAAATTGGATGCGACCACTGGCGGTAACAGGTAGCGGGAGTATTGTGGCGAGAAACGTAAAATTGGATGCGACCAACAAATATGTGTGGTAGCGAGACAAGAGCTTTGAGGCGAGTGAGAAGAGAAAGTGATATTGATGTTTTTGAAAAGGAATTATGCCATTTCTGAACAGGATTCCCATCCTCCGCTCTGCCCCGGGGCAGCTGTGGCCGCGTTGTAGTGGTTTAACTATGACATGTAAAATTGTTGTGCAACAGCTCACTCGAACGCACATCCGAACTACCGAGCACAGACCATAGTCGGGTGGACAGAACCATGGACTCCCGTTCAGGACGTCCCGTGTCCCTCCTCCAAAAATGGACTAACAGTGCATGATATTTGTGTACTTAAAGGGTTATTATTTGACTATTTGGGCAGAGAGTGGATTTTCTTTGTTTTTTTCCCACAGAGTTACTGCCACTTTATTCCCAAACTCTTGTTAACTCATTGTATTGAGAAATATTAAATAAAGCTTAATGTCAAGGCCTGGACTTAAGCACTTTGATGAGAATAACTGTATATTGTGAATATAGGCTACAGAGTATACATATTATAAGATTAGACATACTTTATTGATCTCACATAGAGTACAGTATGTATAGTATTTTTTTTACATTAGTATATATTTTTATATTTTCTCCGTGCCGTGAATTTTTTTCAATGAAAAAGTCTGCCTTGGCTCAAAAAGGTTGAAAAACACTGAACTAGAGGATGGCCCAGATTAGACACCAGAGAGAAAGAACCAGAGAATGGCTTATTAAATCCTGCAGAGTTTAATTTTTGCATCAATTTTACCTGGTGGTCTGCCGTGAGATTTTTGTCATTCCCCAACCTTTTTTGGCTCAAAAAGTAGCATCTGCTTGGTTCAGACTAAATTCTGAATGCTAACCCCAGCTTTGAGGGAACAGGCAGGTAATGCAATATATTTCTGTAACTGTGATTTTTTTTTTATTATTCCTAACCTGATCATATTTATTGGACCCAAAACATGCTTTGAATTGGATATGTACAAAATAAAATGCGTTTTTGCAACCAGTCTTACAGTTGGAAATTGAGTTTTCTGTGTTTCTGTGGAGTTTGACCCCATGGTGCCTCGCATTAAGTCAAAAAATGAAATCCCGTTTTTCCAAAGCATTCAAGTAAACACTCCACTTTAAAATCACCTCATTTCTCAAACCGCAATTTGCCGAACCCGTTGAATCGCACGCGCTACGTGTGGTCTGCAGCAAACACACGCGTGACTCACTGCACCAGACGTTTTTGACTTTTCCCTTTCCTTGGCTCCTCTTCAAAGCCGCTCACGATAAAAGCAGCGGGCGACTCTGCTTGAGTGCCAACGGGAACAAAAAAAAAGAAAATAAACTGGATAATTTTGTTGTGTTGTGGGTTTTTTGTGGAAGTGTCAGAGAGCGCCACCGTTTAGCACTTTGTTAATCCAGACTAATCCGGGGCTGTGTTCTCCTCGCTCGCTATTACACGAGCGGGATGTCCTCGTCTCACCACAGCCGCTCTCTGGCTACAGCTGCGTATTCCACAGGGTAAAGCTGGGTTATCATGGACGATGCATGGGCGTGTGTTCACCACATACACTGGAAAGTATCCTTTGACAAAAGTATATGAAAATAAAATACATGTAAATATAAAAAACACTCCATATTTTATTATTCTTTCATTTATTTAGCAGGCATGTTGCAAATCAACATAGAACAAAACAAGCTTGTAACTGTTTCGATGCAAAAAGAGTTAATAGCTTTTGCTGATTTTCGGCTCCAGCCCCTGGTCGGGCCTGCTTAAAAAAAGAAGAAATGTCAACCAATAGAACAAGAAAATATGACGTGACAAGATTTCTGAAAATAAGAAAATTATTCTTGCCCCAAATGACTTGATTCTATTATTTAAAAAAATACATTTCAAGTATTATTTACTTATTTCTTATTTTAAGAAAACATTTCTCAAAAATGTGTAACAGACTTAATTTATCTACAAGAAAAGTTGTTTGGAAATAAGAAACAATTCTTTAAGTAGCTATACATAAGGGTTGTAAGTCATCATTAAATATCCCTATCCTTTCATTTCGATGTCCCGCGCTCCACCGTTTCACAAATCAGAAAGTCTGTGATCCTGGTTATGAATCTCCAATCATTAACGACAAAACGAGGCATAAAATAAAATAAGGATTTCTATCAGGACCCTTGTGAAAAAGGTATTGTTGACAAAACTCTTGTCTATTCAGATATTATGGTCTCAGCTTGTGCATATCTGGCAACCTGAGTCAGGGAGAGGTTGCAGAACCACTTTTGCCCAGATTTTTACACACTGCTCCTTTAAAACAAACAACTCACTGCTCAGACTTCTTTTCTCTAATAAGATTATAAAGTATTAATATCTTAAAACTAGATCTTAAAAATCAAAAACTTACATGACCTTCAAGCTAAAAAAAAAAAAAGAACTTGCTATTAAAAGGACAAAGCATAATTTATGTTATTTTTTGGAAAGAAATCCTACCAAGACTTCACTTTATTCAGAGTTTATTTTCACTTTGCTGTTGTTCTATCAAGACACCGGTGCAGAGTGGCTCGCTGAGGCCGTGCCGTGAGTGGCCATGTGATCTTTAGCGTGTCATCATCTAAAGGCACTAAATCAAACAAAATAGTTAAGTGTTTTGCTGCTCGCATGTGGAATAATCTATAGCGTGGAATTGCAGGCTAAAGTTAGCAGAGTGTAATCAAAGCGTCGCATGCATCTACAGAGCGGCTTTGAAGTACACCGCTCTGGAGTTCATTCAAAGACACATTCGGCATTCTGTGTTTATTTTTATTTTTTTGGTCCATGAACTTGGCCTTGAGATAAATTACGTTGGTATTTAGTGTTAACGTGTTTAAGAATGTGGAATAATTACGTCGACTAAATGCATGGTTCTATATGTGTTTTGATAGGAGGGTCACCGTGTCAGCTTTGTCCAATGTATCTATTATGTGATGTAATGACTGGTGAATCAAACTTGTAAACAAAAATGAAATAAGGTTTATTACAAAAAAAAGTGCAAAGGTGGGCTGGGTTGAGGCTGGAGGCTGAGTCTGGAGGCTGGAGGCTGAGGCTCAGGCTGGAGGCTGAGGCTGTACTGGGCTTGGGGCTGAGGGTGGAGGCTGAGGCTGGAGGCTTAGGCTGGAGGCTGGATTGGGCTGAAGGCTGGAGTGGGCTGGAGGCTGAGGCTGGACTGGGCTGGACTGGAGGCTGAGGCTGGACTGGGCTAGGCTGGACTGGTCTGGGCTGGAGGCTATGGATTGGGCTGAAGGCTGGAGTGGGCTGGAGGCTGAGGCTGGACTGGGCTGGAGGCTGAGGCTGGAGGCTGAGGCTGGAGTGGGCTGAGCTGGAGGCTGTACTGGGCTGGAGGCTGGAGGTTGGAGGCTGAGGCTGGACTGGCATGGAGGCTGAGGCTGGACTGGACAGGAGGCTGAGACTGGACTGGACAGGAGGCTGGAGGCTGAGGCTGGACTGGGCTGGAGGCTGAGGCTGGAGTGGGCTGAGCTGGAGGCTGTACTGGGCTGGAGGCTGGAGGTAGGAGGCTGAGGCTGGACTGGACAGGAGGCTGAGGCATGGCCAGAAAAACAGGAAGAAAGCAGAGTCTGGACCAAAAACGAGTCAAAAAGGAAAAACAAGTAACGAGCAAATCTAATATTGAATAAGCCAAGGAGTAATACCGTGAACGTGTTACTGACCATCTGGCACATGGCGAAGAGTTAAGCGGGTTTTAAAACTGTAGAGGTGAAGCTGATGAGTTATATTGGTTAAAACAAATTTAGCTTACATACTGTTCTCAATCTGATGCTTGTTCCCTTTTGATCTCTTGTTCTCTAACTGGGTTAAAACGGTCTGTTCTTATCTTGTCTGTCTGTGTCTGCTTCACCTTGATATTGTCCGTCTGTGTCGGTTTTGGATTTATTAATGTGTGATCTATTGTGCAAGATTTTAATTTCCACTGACGCTTATGGCATCAATGTTGATCAATGTGCATTGTCCCAAATCAATAAATAAATGAAAATGAAATAAATGAGAATAATAATCCTCGCTCCATGCATGTGCAGCAACCAATCAGAAAGCAGCTAAGTGGTCACAGGGACATAAGCCGGTCCAAAACAGGAAGACCAAAATTTAATAAAAAACACGCAAAAATATCTTATCTTACTTTTTTTGCAGGACGGTGGTTTTAATCTGCAGGTCAGTTTTTTCCTTAAGGTAGATTGTTTAATATGTTGTGCATCTGAAGGCCAGATCCTGTCATACCTTTGAAGCTAAGCATGTCAAGGCTTGGCCAGCACTGTGATGGGAGACCTTTGGCAACACTAGGCACACATTGGCAAGATATTTAATTTAACTTACATTAGAATGAGTCTGGTGTATGAGTGAAGGGTTGGTGATGGTGGGAGGGGCTGATGGCACATACTGTTTGCCTCGCTTCTGTCAGTGTGCCCCAGGGCAGCTCTGGCTACAGTAGTCGTTTATCACCACAGTGTAATGAAGTTAAAGAATAATGACATATGAAGCAAAGCGCTATATAAAACCAATGCATTAATATTAGTATTATCATATTGGCCAGAGCAGTTTGGAGCCAAAACACAGCCACACGCTCCACACTCGGCAGAATCACCCGTTCCTGAACTCGGGCATCCTCGTCTGTGAGCAGCTAACATGTAAAAATATGTCATGTCTGAATCATAACAGGGATTTTCTAACGGTTCAACACGGCAGCATCGGCAGCAGAAGGACAGAGATGTGCAACAAACACATCACATAATCATTACTCCATTACGTCCATTACAGATGTCTCCACATTTATAAATGATTGACATCTGTAGAGAGCAACACGGCAAAGAAATGGTTTGGAGTAAAGTAATTCAGAAGTTAGGGTTAGCAACCATGTTTTCACATTCAGCTCCTACTCTCCTCAGTCCTCTCTCTCTCCTCAGCCCTCTTTCTCTCAGTCCTCTCTCTCCTCCTCAGCCCTCTTTCTCTCAGTCCTCTCTCTCCTCCTCAGCCCTCTTTCTCTCTTCCCTCTTTTTCCTCCTCAGCCCTCTCTCTCAGCCCTCTTTCTCCTCCTCAGCCCTCTCTCTCCTCCTCAGCCCTCTCTCTCTCTCCTCAGCTCCTCTCTCTCCTCCTCAGCCCTTTTTTCTCTCAGCCCTCTCTCTCCTCCTCAGCCCTCTTTCTCTCAGTCCTCTCTCTCCTCCTCAGCCCTCTTTCTCTCAGTCCTCTTTCTCCTCTTCAGCCCTTTTTCTCTCTTCCCTCTTTTTCCTCCTCAGCCCTCTCTCTCTCAGCCCTCTTTCTCCTCCTCAGCCCTCTCTCTCCTCCTCAGTCCTCTCTCTCTTCTCAGTCCTCTCTCTCTCCTCCTCAGCCCTCTCTCTCTCTCTCCTCAGCCCTCTTTCTCCTCCTCAGCCCCTCTCTCCCCTCAGCTACTCTCTCCTCAGCCCTCTCTCTCCTCAGCTCCTCCCTCCTCCTCAGCTCTCTATCTCTCTTCTCAGCTCCTCTTTCTCCTCATCAGTCCCTCTCTCTCCTCAATCCTCTCTCTCTCTCCTCGGCTCCTCTCTCCTCCTCAGTTCTCTCTCTTCAGCTCCTCTTTCCTCAGCCCTCTCCTCAGCTCCTCTCTCATCCTCAGCTCCTCTCTCCCCTCAGCCCTCTCCCTCCTCAGCCCCTCTCTCTCCTCAGCTCCTCTCTCTCCTCCTCACCTTCTCCTCCCCAGCTCAGCCTCCTCTCACAGATTAGCAGCTAATAGCTCGCTGGAGTCTTTAGGGTGGGTACAAGCGCGATAAGAGCCTGGACGGTGCGCGGTCTAAGTCCCATCGATCGTGTCAGCGCAGTGCGGAGGCTGTCATTAGAACTGTCCCGCCGTGATGGATTCCAGCACGTCCCGTACGTGGAGATAACAGAGGGAGGGGAGGGGTGAGAAAGAGAGAGAGAGAGGGAGGGTTGTGGCCTGAGACGGCGGAGCACTCAGCACTGACTTCAGCCGGTTTGCACTTCTGTTGTCAAACTTGAGTCCGGTGGAGACTTATTGTTTGTGAATAAGAATATTCTAAAGAGGTTATTAACTCCCAGAGCAGTCTATTTGATGGCTTTTCGTTTTTAAAGTGTAATTACTGGGTAGCGGATGTACAAGAACTGGTCCTTGACTGGCCTTGGACTGGTTGAAAGGAATGGCTCACACCCAGGGCTGGACTGGGACAAAAAAACGGCCCGGGCATTTTTTCCTTCTTACCGGCCCAGGCATGTTTTTGTCACGTTTTTTACAGTTTGTTTATACCAGGGATCAGCAACTCAAAAGGTTCAAAGAGCCATATTTGACAAAAAATACTAAAAACATCTGTCTGGAGCCGCAAAAAAATAACAGCCTTGTATAAAGCTTATATGAAGGTTACACAATGTAGCTACATTAGCTACATTAGCCTATTATCTAAATGACCAAGTAAAGGCTACAAATACATAATAAGCATTCATGATTGTCAAATGTGTGTTTTCACTGCAGCGTGTCCTGGAGAGAATGACGCACCACGTGATGACTCTGCTTTAACTTTGACTTCCATTTTTTTGCCTTCATGCAACTGTAGAAATACAGTAAATAAATCTGCTTTTTGGCTCAAAGGTCACACACCTGCACTGTCCGCTCATATCGATTACGTCACAGGCTGAAGTTTGCTGGAGCTGAATGTCCTTAATGGCCTTTTCTTTCACAGTCTTTGCGGAGGTTTTTGAAGTCTGAAAAAGGTGCTCCGGATTTTGTATGAAAGAATCCTTCACGTAATCCCTGTGAACGGTATTTAGTGCTTCATTGTTCCTCGTGTTGCAACAAAACTTCCTATTACATCGCAAACATGAAGCAGTCCTTCCTCATTGACTAAAAGCAAATGTTCAGTCTTGTTCTTAGTCCAGTCTTATTATCGGCTCTTTCTCTTTTTATCTTTGGGATCCGTGCACACACGCCGGTTTGTTTACAGCAGCGGCCGCCTGGCGCGGGGCCGCGTCACAGGATATGACTCACTACGTTGACAGAAATGTTGAAATTGAATATTACTTATACACATTTTTACAGCATTGAAATACGTTAGGAATGTTTTTCCTCCTACAGAAACCACATTCAGATTAGGAATAAAATATAGCCCTCCCACTCCATTTTCAGACATTTTTGAAAAGGCTCCAGGAGCCACTGGAGGAGCACTAAAGGTTGCCGACCCCTGGTTTATACAGTATGTGGAAGCAAATACTGTAGAGGATCAGGATGTCTACAGTTTCAACAAAAAAATAAAGTACAATAGTCTACATTAAACAGAGTAATAAACATGTCTCAGAGTGAGGGAGGTGGACGCAGACAACACTGTTGTTTGTTACAGGGATGAGAATTGGTCAAAAAAGTCTGAAATGCATAATGTCAGCAGGGCTGGACTGGCCATCGGGCGTACCGGGCAATGCCAGAAGGGCCGATGCCCATATTTGGGCCGGTCTGTTTGCCTCATACAAAAAAGATGTTTGTGAAAAGTGTAAATCCGTTGAGAACTGTTCGAGGGGGCGCGAGTGTCCGCGGGGCACCTGCTGTATGTACTCAAACGGGATTCTACCACCTCAGCGGCCGCAGTGTTCCCGCATCCAGCAGCTCTGAGCTGGACGCAGGAACCGCTCACCGGGAGCCGCTCACAACACAACACGGTGAGCGCGTAGCCGCAACGTGACCATGTACCCAAGACCATAAACGCGCACAGGGCCATGCGTGTCTTTGCGTAATTTGTGCACCCAATAAATACACCGCTGCAGGAAACAGTCCGCGTCTCCCCTCTCCTCTCGAAGTGCGACTAAATTAAAGCTCGGGTGCCTAAATTTTCCATTGCATTAAAAGTTCATGTTTGAGCCCAAAAGTAAAATGTTGTGAAAAAATTAAACAGATTTAGAGCCAGCCAATGGCTGACATTATGCATTTCAGACTTTTTTTACCAATTCTCATCCCTGTAACAAACAATAGTGTCTGTGTCCACCTCCCTCACTCTGAGACATGTTTATTACTCTGTTTAATGTAGACTATTGTACTTTATTTTTTTGTTGAAACTGTAGACATCCTGATCCTCTACAGTATTTGCTTCCACATACTGTATAAACCAGGGGTCGGCAACCTTTAGTGCTCCTCCAGTGGCTCCTGGAGCCTTTTCAAAAATGTCTGAAAATGGAGTGGGAGGGCTATATTTTATTCCTAATCTGAATGTGGTTTCTGTAGGAGGAAAAACATTCCTAACGTATTTCAATGCTGTAAAAATGTGTATAAGTAATATTCAATTTCAACATTTCTGTCAACGTAGTGCGTCATATCCTGTGACGCGGCCCCGCGGCAGGCGGCCGCTGCTGTGAACAAACCGGCGTGTGCGCACGGATCCCAAAGATAAAAAGAGTCGATAATAAGACTGGACTAAGAACAAGACTGAACATTTGCTTTTAGTCAATGAGGAAGGACTGCTTCATGTTTGCGATGTAATAGGAAGTTTTGTTGCAACACGAGGAACAATGAAGCACTAAATACCGTTCACAGGGATTACGTGAAGGATTCTTTCATACAAAATCCGGAGC